ATCATCATAAAATCGAAATTTTTATTCATCTTTATAAGAACACGAGAATATTAGATTTTTTAATATATTTTACTATTAAGACGAATGTATATGCAAGGAATGATCCGCGATAATCCGTCTTTTCAACGACAGAGGCGGAAAAATCACGAAATTCGTTGAAAAATTTAAGCGTTTTCCATTAAATTTCGTGGCAACCAACAATAAAACTCCGACAATTTGTTGCGAGCGATTGAATTTTCAGTTCGTGCTATTAAAGCGATTTGTTTCAAGCGTTTTTCTGGGTTTTGCAACATTTGTAGCTATTTTATTGGTAAGTCAGACCACGAACTTTCTAAATTTAGGTATTTTTGAACATTGTTAAGTCGAATATCACAATTAATGGCAATGATTTTCCGACAAAGCTCCGATAAGATAACAATTGATCGGTTTCGTCACAGAGTGGACGAATGCAGTCTTTCCACTTATTTTGAAAGCTACTTTTTACCCCTTTTATTGTTAATTTTCAATTTAGCCCAAATCTTAAGTAAGCTTTAAAAGTTCGACTTAACAATGTTCAAAAATACCTAAATTTAGAAAGTTCGTGGTTTGAACTTACCAATAAAATAGCTGCAAATGTTGCAAAACCCAGAAAAACGCTTGAAATATATCGCTTTAATAGCACGAACTGAAAATTCAATCGCTCGCAACAAATTGTCGGAGTTTTATTGTTGGTTCTCACGAAATTTAATGTAAAATGCTTGAATTTTTCAACGAATTTCGTGATTTTTCCGCCTCTGTCGTTGAAGAGACGGATTATCGCGGATCATTCCTTGCATATACATTCGTCTTAATAGTAAAATATATTAAAAAATCTAATATTCTCGTGTTCGTATAAAGATGAATAAAAATTTCGATTTTATGATGATACTTCGAACCGAAAAAAATAAAAAAAATAGACTTGAAGTACAGTAACACCCCTTTTATCTACCTCGTTGTTGTAATTTACTTGAGTGACGTTCTACAATCTATTAATTAATAAAATTGAACTCTTGTTAAGGTATCCGAATTTTATAGATAAAAGCTTATACATGATAAAGACTAAAGAGCGAGTTACGCTCTGAAATATACGAAAGATAATGAGAGAGTAAACGTTCCTCTTGAGAATGATTTATTTTTCTATTTAAAACGAATTAGAAACTTTATTGTAAACGTAAAATAAGAAAAATAATAAATTATTAATAATAATTATTATTTTTAAATAATAATTTAAAAATAAGAAAAATGTGAGTATTGTATTCTTAATTATGGCAGAACGATCGACCTAAAAATTATCCAATTAAACCATAATTTGTTTTTCCATTTGATAAACATGTTTTTATATCTGAATATCTGAAATTTCAGTTTAATTGATTTCTTCTATCTTATAAAACCATGTTTGCATGATCAATAAACAGTAATTATTCTTTCGATCTTAAATACAGTTATCGTACAGAAAATTTAATAAATTTTCTGTATGGTAATGTTAACATAATTAAAAACTTTAATAAAAGCATGAAAATACTTTATGGAGATTATACAAAGATAAAAACACACTTTGTTATTCCTAGTAATAATATAAATTTGGCACATTAATAGTGAAAACTGGTAGGAACATTTAAAAGATGATACAAGTGAATTTGCCAATAGAATATTTGAAATCAGTTTATTTACGCCTATAGATTTTATAGATAGATTTATATTTTTTGGTTATACTTTTATCTACAGAATAAAAAGACATTTCGAAACTTCTCTCTTAAAAAAATTAAAATAGATCTTTTAATTAGTACAAAAATTAATTTAATTGTCTAAATATTTGTAGGATTTCATTTCCATTGAACTGATAGTACAAATGTAATAATGTATGTTTGGTACGATACTATTAAAAAATAAAAAGTCTATCTTAAATGTTATTAGTGTTTTTTTAGTCTTATTTCTAAGAATACGTAAATTTAATTAAAATACTAAATATATTGATATTTATTTATAATATTCAAATATTTAAAATTCAAATATAATTTAATTCAAACTATACTGTTTAATATTAAAATTAAAAGATTTAACAATATAACTTTTCTTTGTTTATGAGTAAGGTATGGAGTCCACAGGCAATCTCCTATTTCGTCTAATATTTGGCCCTGTCCAAACTCAAACCTGAGTTTTCCAGAGCGGCTGGTTGAAACATTTATCATTTTGCCTATCGGCTCTTTTGTGTTGGAGCGTAGAAGTGAAGAAATAATTTTTATCAAGTTTAACAAATTAAATAATTTATAACTTTGGGTTTTGTTTTTGTTTTCTTTTCAAATGTATGTATAAAAATTGTCCCGATAAAACATTTACATTCAAAAAGTGGATAACACTACGTAAAATCAAAAATTTCTAAATTCAACAGCGCTGAAGATTTTTCGTTTCTTTGTATATTCGAAAATCGTGTAATAAACGATTCGGTTTATTTAATTCATACGAAATTACAAAGAACAAATTAAGTTTGAATAATTTATTCTTAACGTCTCTACCAATATCCACCACCTTACTTTAAGTGTAAAGAGAATAATTTTGAAAGAATTACAGTATTATTATTATTATTATTAACTCTTTCCGCCCTGTGGGCACTAACAGGGCCTCTTTTTGCAAGCCCATTATGAGTTCGGCCAGGCCCACAATGGGGCCGCCGGGTGGTGAGAGACTGGGCCCGACATATCCGAGCGGACCTATCCGAACGGACCACTCCCCGAAAAATTCCTGGGGATTATTCAATCCGTTCGGATTCGAATCCGGGTCCCCCGGAGCGGTAGGCTGCCACCTTGATCGCTCGGCCATCCACCCGCTAGAATTGTTATTATTTTAATAAAATACACGAAACTAATATTCTTCAAAATACAACATTTATATATTTCAAACAGATTTAGTCAATTAAATCTTTGAAGAAAACGAAGATTGTAATTAATTAATTAAATTTATAATTTTTGTTTGGCAACACTGAAAGAGTTAGGAATTAATCCGGTGGCGTGAGGAAGTCTTGTCAAAGAAAAATTTGGATTATTTTTGAAAAAAATATTGATTAAACACGTAAGTAGTAATGATAATTTAATCTTGAAAGTATTTAAGAGCAATTATAAAAGTATTTTAAATATTTCTGACGATGTATTTACCGTAGGACAATTCATTAACAAAATGGCGCCAAAATTCTCCGAATTACAAATATTGATGCCATTTTTGCCATCTTTCATCCAATCAAATTGTGTCAATTGCGATTGCTTGTATTTGGACACGTGATTCAGTATGTCATATGTCTTAATGTTTACTTGAATTATTAAATTAATTAAGCAAACTATTCAAGTAAATATTGGATATTTGATTATAATCAATGGGAAATTTCCACCATAAAATGTAGAAACAAAAAATGATATGCAAAAATTAGAGTTAAAAGATTATGAAAATGAGGCATGGGAATGGGGTTTCCTTCTTTGAAGAGTTCACTATATAATTAATGAGAATTTTACGGATACGAGCGTCTCCCTGCAGAAATATATAAGGTTAGGACACCAATGGTTCATATAGAGCCGCCGTTTTGGATCCCCAGTTCTAAGGTCACGGTATAGATTTCATGCTATCTATGTGCTGTAAACTGCACGTTCCTTCGACTTTGAGCTACATAATTCCTTTTATAATTTCAAATAGAGTATTTTTTCATTTAGAGATTATATAAAGGCTTTAGCAAAATAGGTTTCAAAATAAAAAGCTATATCAATGGTTCGTATAATAAAGTACGAGAATAAATTTGTTTAGTTTTGAAATGCAAAGTTAGAGAAGAAATTTGGAGATATTTCTTAAAATAAAAATATATTTAGTTTTTTATATTCGCATATACTTTTACATTATTACACGAACTGCAAATATGAACTCAGATTAAACATTTTTATAAATTAAAATTAGACGATGAGAAAAGAAAACCATTCTCACAAATATTATGTAAAGTAAACCTTCGAAAGTATTTGCAAGAGAATAATTTCCTTCATTTAGGAACTTTCTTATGCATATAAACTAAATTTATTTATTATTATAGAGAATTAAATAAGTATATTTATAAAAATTATTAAACAGTAGACAAAAAATAGAAATATTTACTTCAACTTTATTTATTCTGTTATTTTATAATAAAACTAGCTGCAAGTGCCCGCTTCGCTGGGATTTTATTTGTTCGTACATTTATATGTAATATAGTTTTTTTTATATAAAAAACTGTTTCTCTTCTCTACATAATCTTTCTCTGATTCGATGTGTTTCCCTATAATTTTCAAGTTGCTCTTCTGTCTGATTATTTCTGTTTCTCGTGGCAATGTTAGATATACTGTACTTCTCTTTCTTCCGTGATTTTATTTCTCCGCGCCATCTTTTGCCTTTGAGATATGATTCGAGACCGCAAAAATTCTTTCTTTCGCTTTGGCATTGTTTTTTATATTTTTACTTTTCACACTTCACTATTCACTTTTCACTTTCTACTTTTTTCTGTCATTTGTACACTTTTACTTATGAAAAATCAACTGAAGCATGCGCGTCACGCGTCTCCAAAAGCCATCCCCACTACTCACACATAACGGTCCTCGACTATTCGAAAACATTTAAAATTAAGATTAAGATTACATTATAGCCAATCTTACCCTTTTTCACAGAATGCAAGAATTAAATCTCCCATTTCCAGACTAATTACAGAATTTTTACATGGGTCTAAAAATACGTTCGATTTCCCGCAAAAACGCAAAAACCACAAAATCTTGCACGCCGTTTTATCTTAACACTTCCTTTGTTACTCAACACTTCCATTGTTAACACTTCCATTCTTAACACTTTCATTGTTAACACTTCCATTGTTGACACTTCCATTGTTACACATTTTCGAAGTTAACCATTTTCAACCCCCATATCTCCTACACCCTTATAGCTATCGAAACACAACCACCATAGTGCACGATGGGAGACTTAGGGCTATTATCACACACAAACACCATTCATGTGCGATATGTAGTTTTGGCTGCAGAGTGAAATGTAGGCATACAAACGTCCATTTATGTATATATAGTACATAATATATATATACATATATACATAATACATACATATATATTTATGTATATACAGATTAGTAAGTAACAATTACTCATTAGAATATGCAATTTGTAATATGTGACATTATTCTGAATTACAGTATTATGAAATATTACTTTAAATGGCTGAAACTTCTAGACCAGGGGTGGCCAACCTTTTGCATACCATGCGCCAATTTTTGTGATAGACGAGTTCAGATACGCAGAGGCGTACCGTGAGTGTTAGCAGCCCGGGGCGGAGAAAATTTTCGGCCACCCGTTAACTAGGTATTTCAATTTATAAGAAGAAACTATTTATAATCTATAATTCATAAGAGAACTATCTTACACGGGTAGCTACACTACCTGTATAAAGTAGTTCTATATGACATCAGTGGTGTAACGAATGCATAATGTAACGTGCAAGCAGAAAAAAAAAAGGTCAACAGGTCGATTGCACCGAAATGTGTATGCAATGAAGCCGAATCTGGCTGGCAATGTTGCTCAGAAACGACTAAAGCGCCACTTGTAATCGTCCAATGCGCCAAGTTTGGCGCATGCGCCACGTCTTGGCCACCCCTGTTCTAGGCGCTTTACAGGAAAGCGGCGCTGAACGTCCGACGTACACGTTTTCGCGTTTTAAACTTCGGCCTCAATCTCCCTAACGATGCATACTGCAAACATTTTATAATAAGTGTTAAATATTAAAGCAGTTTATATACTGGATTTTTGTTTTTATCTAACAACAAAATATTTAAAAGAAATCTCTATTAGTAACTCGATACTATATTTTCCAATTTCACTAAAATTGTTACTTCAGAAAATGCAACATGAACACACTGAATGACAGTACATGCAGCAAATAGCATTATTTGTATCAAAATATGAAGTTATAAAATATTTATATATCTAACAAGAAATCCAACCAATTGAGATCGAAAGAAACAATTATCTTCGTTCTAGCAACACCGTACACATAACCTGAGACTGATCCAAAATGGCGACTACCGCGATGCTTCACGGTATCGTGTCTTAGCCTTATGTTTATAGACCTTGTTGTACAGGACATACTAGAGTTTCTTTAACGGGATCCTGGCTGTTTTTTAACCCGGGAAATCTGGCAAATTTCTTAAAAGTTCACTTTTTTCCTATTTTGTGTTAAGATTGAGGAAATTTTGCACATACAAAGTATAATTAGCTCATAAACTGCCAGAATACATTTGTATTTATTAATTTTATGCCCACCTGCCTAATTTTTTCTTGTCATGGCACGTCACAGATTGATAATAACCAATATGGAGCCTATTTGTGGCAGAACTCTGAAAATTCTTTATTTGCCAGTACCTTTAATATCTTGAATAGTTGCACTGATGCTGTCTTAATTTTTAACCACGGCTGTAGCTTTAATAAGTTCATTATATCAGGTTGTGCAAATTGGGCAGGGATTCAAACGAGTATGAAGTATGCAGGTATGAAGATTTTCTTCATAAATCTGATTATTAAAGCCAAACAAACTGCAGAATTATCGGGCTATAAGATTGATGTCGCTATTAAAACAGCCGAGGTAGACAAATCAAGAATACTAGACAGCAAAAGAAGTATTGCAATACTTCTTTTGCTGTCTAGTATTCTTGATTTGTCTACCTCGAAAATGTACTAGAAATCTTCCAGGCTACGTGTGAAAAACACATAACATCTGTCTTCTCTTAAACGCATTAAATACTATTTTACCTACGTCAATTGAATCGAAAAGGGTGTTCACAGTAGAAGGATTTTTCATTACTAAAATAAAAGCCAGATTGAGTCATCAGAGTATCGTCCATTTATGCTTTTTAAAATCTTATGAAAATTTACAATAATATTTTGTATTGTGTTTTATTTAAATGTTTCGAAAAACTTAATAACATATTTTAGAGTCGAATTTTATTTAATTCATAAGCGTAAAAATATACATTTGTTTATTAATATTCTGGTGGGGTTGTTCAATCACCCCTAAAAATATTTATAATTGGAAGATTCATAACTTTTATATTTATTTTCTTACCAGTAACTGTTTTATATATTTTAAATGCAATTAATAACATTACAGGCAGTTTTCGTACATTGATTTTCTGTAATTTGGACATAATTTTGTGCCATTTTTCAGAAGACACTATTTTTATCATTCTTCTTTGGACAAACATAATATATCACAACTTTTTATAATTTAACCTGAGAGTAAGTTGACGATTATGAAGTTTCATCCAAGTTTGCTACAATTTCTTATAAATTCCGAAAACATGATGAAATATCATAGCTTTAAATATATAACGCATACAGCGTAATTTCAAGATTTTTTAATGAGACAGATTGATTGGATGAAATTTCATAATTATTGAACTAGTTTTTAAATTGGTTTAAATTCTGGAACATCTGCAGATATAGCTGCATTGTGCCAAAAATTAGTCCTCTTGCTTTCGGCTCATTCACGTACCGGCTTCAATACACATAACAATAACTACAGAAAGAATAAGTTAAATATTGCAATAATTGGAAAAAAATTAAATATTAGCTTGTTGGAAGCGACATTTCATACACGAGGTGACGTCTATCACAGCAGACTTTTCTTTCGTATAGTCAGAGCCACGACATATAACTACTATACACCGAATCGTTAAAAAGTTAACGTAAAAACTAGTGCCGCCATTTGAAGTTAAAGATTGTTGGCAGTTTAAGGCAAAAAGTGTATATGCTGTAGAGATTGTTATGCCGACTTATGGTAGCTGTTTCTGACGTTATTGCTATTTATTTAGATTCGAGTGTGCGGGAATTGTCACAAGAGCATAACAGGAATGGCACCGAGTTGCCGTGCAGTTAATTGTACAGCAAGGTATAAAAAAGGATCTAGTATCACGTTTCGCCGGTACGTTAGATATAGGTCTAGTTGCTCTGATACTATATCGTCAGTTGGCGACTAAAATCTTGTAACTGATTTATATATTGAAC